CCAGCACTCATGGGAGCCAGGGCAAGGCAGGGACAGGGGACCTGTCACCGCTCCTCCAGGACAACCAGATGCCCTCTGGGCTCCTCCAGATATGGGCACCACAACCACCTAGTTTAGACAATAACAATAAATAAAAATTCAAGACCACAACATCCTCAAAGCAATCTGTCAAGCAGTTTCCAATTCACACAAAAGGACCTGGGACGCAAATGAGCTCATCTAAAGTATTGTCCTTGGGTGATTTCTTTACAGTTCCCAAAGTTAGTCCAGTGGAATGCAGAAAGAGAGAAATATTGAAGTAACACTAGTAAATCCCCGTGGCCATTCTCCTCAATTCCACTGCTCCTGGCTCAGCGAGGGTCCCGCCTTTACCCTCTGGAGAGGGGCGACAGCAGCTGGGCCCTAGGACACGTGCAGCCGGACACGGACTGACACCCCGCCGGCCTGGCAGCAGTGCAGTTGGTGGGGGGCGGGGGGCAGGGTCAATCAAGGCCACGCCTGCCCTGCCCCCTCCTTGCAGCACCGATCGAAAGCAGGACGCAAACCCCAGTCAGTCCGATACACTGCGAACTTCCCAACATCCATCAGAATCCTATACACCCTCTCTATAGTAAACATTAATTTTGAAAGAAAATACCACGCTACCAACGTGCAGCATGAAATGAATTATTTTACAGCCAGGCAGAGGGCCGCTTTCCCGACGGAGCCTAGGGTAGTTCTTTCTTTGTTCCTCTCTTCTTCCTTTTTTTTTTTACTATTATTATTACATTTTAACAAACTTTATAGCCCATTTTATTTGTTCTCAAATNATAACTTTGTTTCCTGATAAGCCGAAGAGGTCTATTGCTGTGTCTAATACACAGAAGAGCTAACCCTTCCTCAAAAACTCCATTTACTAGTATGAATATATTTTAATAATAAAGTTGATATATATGGAAATTTATTTTAATCTAATTTCATCGAACCCTCCTGAAAAAGGAGCCTTTGTAGATTGTTTTTGTATCTGAATTATAGATTTCTATACCGTAGTCCCAGATTGATTTCTGGGCTATGATTCTGTCAAGATTTCCTCCTGGTGTCAAAAACAGCCACACCACGGCTAGAATGCTTTATAATTGGCATCACCACCATACGAGAATCACAGCCCCGATGCTTCCCCGGGTGCTGGATGGGCTCACTGTGGAATATTTCCCTTTTGCTAACCTGGACTTGAAGGTTTATGGCTAAAATTACTTTCTGTTTAATCACAAAAATGTTTAATTGAAAGCTAAGACAGGGGAAATGGATAGTCAGAGATGAGAAAGGGGGAAATACACTCTGCAATGGGAGAGAAACAGGGAAGACTGATTAGCCATCGTGCGTGATCAAACTGACGTGAAAACTTTCCCTGCTTGTCCTCTGCCCTAGGGTCAAATAAATTACACTGGCGTATTTACTAAGTCTTTCAAAACTGGTTTTCACTCCGTGGTGAATAGAGAGGCACTTCCTGGCAAGCCCCACCAGACCGGCAGCCTCCTGAGTAGTCCCCAGGCCCTCCCGGCTGCTCTAGGCAGTCCTGGCACCGTGCACAGGGCCGATGCCTAAACAGTAACTTTTCCCTCGGGGTTCAGAGAAAACCAGCACTGGCTTCTCTCCACCACCATCAATGACCTGCCCCAGCCTCCTTCTAAGCAGCTGTTTTGCATTTTGCCTGGTGCCCTTCATCTTCAGGTAGGTGATGAGTTTACACAGAAGTTGACTCACTGACATCAAAGTCTGTTTCACTGCCAGGAACCAGAGGGTGGAAACTTAGCCTCATGGCATCATGGTTCCTGGAAATTCACAGGCATCATAGGTAGTAAAAGGGGGTGCTCCAGCTGTCTGCTGGGTCCCTACCACCCCAGAACTAAACAAACATCTCCATCCTCTTGGAGAAAGCTCTCCAGCCCCGACTCTAGGGATGTAACTAGACAGAGTTGAGGAGAATCCCATTGTGGAGGGCGGAATAATGCCCCCCAAGATGTCCACCTCCTAATCACCACAATCTGGGGATATGTTACTTTATCTGGCAAAAAGGACTTTGCAAATTAGATTAAGTTAAAGACCTGGATATGGTTAGATTACCCCAGATTACCTGAGTAAGCCCAACCTAGTCACATGACACCTTAAAACCTGAGAATGTTCCCAGCTCTGGTTGGAGAGAGATGTGCCTACAGAAGGGCGAGCAAGTGGCCACACTGCTGGCTTTGAGAACGAAGGAAGCAGCCATGATCCAAGGATGGGGGACAATGTAGAATCTGGACAAGGAAAGGATGGGATTTTCCCTAGAGCCTCCAGAATGAAATGCAGTCCTGACGAAATACTGACTTGAGACACGTGGCACTGTAAGACAACAGATTTGCGCTGGTGAAGCCACCAAGTGTGCGGTACTTATCACAGCGGCCACAGAAAACTGCTGCGCCAGCTCCCACTCTTCTTGAACAGACAACAGGCCTATTCAGAGACAGATGATTTGCAAAATACATCCATCTTGGGACCCGGTTATGTTACCAAAAAGAGGTCATAAAAGTAAAAAAAAGAGAAAGAGACAATGAGTACCTTCTAGAAGAAGAATTGCTCCAAGAACATAGGAACATTTTAGATAAAGCCTTATCAATACGTTCAAAATAATTGAGAGAGAACAGGCTCTATGATAGAAGAAATCAAAGAAAATAACAGATAAAAAAGGACATGGAAGATAGCTGACAAAGTTAAGGGAAAAAACTAAGAAATGTAAAAGCATTATAGAAAGAAAAAGTAAATTAGAATCGGTAAGAAGTAAATACAATTGAAAATAGTTAAGAGATATCAGAAGAAAGCCAAGCAAAAATAAACCAGAAAAATATTAATATATATACTAGAAGAAAGGTCTCTTGAAATAATATAAATGGAAAGGATTTATAACATTCCACAGAAAGGTAATAGAGAGAACCAAGACTGAGACACGGCCTGGTAAATGCAAGTAAAATTCAAGAGAGTGAGAGGGAGGGAGAGAAATCCCATGAGCACCCAGGCCAAAGCACATGATCTAAAATGAAAAAAAAATCCGCACTGTCCTCAACATTGCTGCAACTCCAGAGATGTCAGAGGACAAAACAGAATGTGATCGAGGAATTCTTTACTTTACTAGGTGTTGTTTATAAATAGATAACAGAAAGACATTCTCAAATATATAAGAATGTAGGAAGTTTAGAAGGCATGTGCCCTGGCTGAAAATGAATTCAAGACATACTCGTAAGTTTACTTTCTACTTAGTTTTAACTATAATAGAGAGGTTGAACTATGTAAACACTTGGTGTTGAACTCTGAATCCAGCTGAAGAGAGAACTGGGTGTGACGGGAAAACATCCGGGACTGAGAGATCACATGACATGATGGCCTTCGAGGAAAACTATTTTGAGGGGCTGTTACAAGGTGTGGAAATTATTAGCTAATAGATATGAAGAAAACTAGCAAGCTGGCATCCCAAATGCAGGTTTTCTGCATGTGACACACAGCAGTGAGCTGGCCAGCGCTTAGTCACTGGTTCCATATGGCTGCAAAGGAGACCAGAAAACGGACACTTTTATTACAGACACCAGTGTGCTTCACTGAAAATTGTTTTGTTGCCAAGGAGGAAAAGCAGAATGAGTGCCAGACTAGACAAGAAGCAGTTCTGTCACACAGGATCCCTTTCACAAGATGACATTTCACAATGAACACATAGCTGACATAAGCCTTTACGAACTCAATAACATGGCAACCAAAACACTAAAGCAAAAACCGCAGGAAGCACAAGGAAAATGAATAGAACTACAGCAGTAATGGGAGATTAACAAATCTCTTAGTCCTTGGCAGGATAACAGGCGCCACAACAAGAAACCGCACCAAGGACGAGGCAAGGACAGAGGGGATCTACGCATACAATTCCTAAGTTTGACCTGATATATCTAACTATAACTTTAAATTAAAAATACACCATCTTTTCAAATACCTATTGAACAAACATCCACAGAATAAACCTCAAGTTTTCAAAAATTAGAGGTTGTACTTATATTCTCCATATTCTACACTAAAATGAAAAACTAAAAATGAAAGTTGAAATAATAACAATAAAATGTCAACTACCTGGAAACTTAAAAACTCTCCTAAACTAAATCAGTGTCTGAAGCAATCAGCCCCGAATGGCCGGGACTTGATCAATAACTAAGAGCTTCCCTAATTTTTGCCACCGTTTTTAATGTGGGCCCAACCGGAGAACACTGAACATGCTCCCTAACCAAGCACATGGGACGCCTGGCTTCCAGTCGGCTGCCTCCAGCTTTCCCGGGCCAACGGCTGCCACAGGGCTCACCCGAAGCCTCCCCTTTTCCACAACAAGCCTCCCTGCTCCCCTGCCTGCCCCCAAGTTTGCCAAATGCAAGCGAGGGGGGCCCACTCCCTGGACAGAGCAAGCTCTGCGTAAAGCCTCCGCTTCCCTCACCTGGGGGGTCTTCCTCTGTTCCCATAGTACACACGGTTGTGGTGCACCTTCAGGTTAACGGAAGGACAGAATATTCAACAACATTCAGCGTTGTTTTGGAACAAATGGGTAACCGTTTGGGGAAAAAAGAGTTAGACTCCTACTGCATACCTATATCAAAATAAATATCTCATGCACCAAAGATTTTAAGGTAAAATAATGCAACTGTAAAAAATAGCAGAAGGGAATATCAGTAGATTCGCACAACAATCCCATGAGGAAGGCCAGCCTGGCTGGTGTGGATTATCATTCACAGAAGAGGGCGCTCAGGCCCAGCAAGAGGAGTGACTGAGTCAGGATTTGAACCCAAGACGGACACAAATGGGCAAATGCGGTGGGTGCGCGGAAAGGCCGATGACTGACATTCTGCTCCAGAAACACGCGGCGGCTCTAGTACACTTCAGCCGAGCCCCCGGCGGGAGGATGCCCAGTGGCAGAGACCTTGCCAGGAGTGTCGCAGGACAGGAAGGGGACAGCTCACCTGTTGGGCTTGGGGCCCAGGCTGTGCAGCATGTGTGCCTGGTCCAGGTCTCTCGGGAAGCCATGCAGCACCCACCCTTTCTGAACGCAGTCCTGCTGGCTCAGGCGATGGCTCAGCACCTTCACGATGATGCTGTCAGGGACTGAGGAGAGAAGACAAGTGATCATCTGGCCAGCCTGGGCACCTCTCCTGCCCCAACAGCAATGTGAGGGGGGCTTCCTAACTACTTGGTCATGGGCTGAACTGGGGAACTGTTGGGTTTAGGTGGATGAGGCTGTGGGTGCCCCTCCTTAGTCCCAGCAATGGGAGGAATGTGGCTCCTGAGAAGGGAAAGGCATTGGGTGGCCCTGACCTTGACAAGATAACATGCTTATCGGAAGCCTGGGTCGTTCCTGGCCCTCCAGGGATATGCAGGCAGTCTCCCCCATCCCCAATCTAGTCTTTGCAGCAGAAGACCTCACGGAAGCACACCAGGCCCCGCTGGAGCTCAGGTTCCGCCAACGGATGGCACTGCTGCCCCTGGTGCTCTCTGCAAATTTGGGGTGCTGTTCTTCCCTCCCCCGAGTTCTTCCCTCCTGGATGGTTAGAGTCAAATCTCTCTCAAGAATCACAGCTCTAGTTATAACCAGAGACCGCAATAAAGTCTTAGGGAGAATGAGATACTGAGAAGCCTCTTGTTTACATTACCACAATTGACATTTTCCTGAAATCTAGACGTCTCTTCTCAGACTCATTAAATGTCCTATGTTGCCAATGTATTGCGTTCTAGCAATTTGCACTGCATTTCCTGCACTTTGCACTCATTTTTCCAGAAATACTCGGTAAATATTACCATTGTTTGCTATGAAGGCGGGCCCCCTGACAAGCTGGCTCCCCGAGCTGCAATGACAGAGCCTTCGGCAGCTTCTCTGGAGGTGCTGAGGCCCTTCCTACCCGCCATCATGGGTCGGCAAGTGGTCCTGATGCACGTCTGAAGCCTTCCAACATGCACCCCATCATGGCTGACAGCCAGGCGAGCACAGGGATGAGAGATGCAGAAACACCACTAACAGCGGCTTTCCTCCACGCCATGACACGCTAGGCCACTCCCTCTTCACCAAGGGACCATAAACCTTAGTCTGAGTAACTTGTGTTTCCCTGAATTTGTTCCCTCTCACATCCATCAGCTTTTCTGCCCCGTTTTCTACAAAAGAGAAAAGGGGTTTCGCTCTAACGAGCACATGAATGAGAAGCTGGTACAGCCGACCCTCTCCCGCCCTGCAGAACCTGCTGGGGCTCTCCAGTGCTCTGAGGGTAGAGCAGGCCTGGCCCCTGCGGCTACGAGGGCCCCTCAGGACAGCCTCCTGCTCCCTCCCAGGCGGCTCCCTCCAGCTCTGCTCCCCCTGAACACGCCAGTCCCTGCAGCCAGAATCTCCTCCCCCTCACTTTGTCTGGACTCGGCCTTTGGGCCCCAGAGGAAGGTCTCCTCTGAGGACAGCCCCCAGCCTGGGTTGGCACCTGAACTTCTTTGTTCGCCATCCCTGGCATGAACTCTCTGGCTAATTCTTTGTGTTATGTCTATGTCTCATGAAAGACCGTGAGTTCCATGAGGAAAGGCCATGCCCATCTCGTTTTCCCATGATTAACATGGCACCTGGCATGTAGCGGACTCTGGGGAGCCCAGGAGATGGAGAGGAGGACGCGGGCTGGAGCGCACAGGCGGAACCTCCAGTCGGTCACTCAGCCTCTCCGATCTCAGCTTCCCATCTGCCGGAAGAGGATGTCAGGGTCTGCCACCACCACGTGGTTAACACGGCACATGAAGTTCCAGGCATGTGGCAGACACTTCAAAGTTGGTGGCTGGGATTTCCAGTTAGGAGAGGTATGTCGGGAAGCAATGTCCCAGGAGCATCCCCACGTGTCCCCCAGGGTCAGGGCTTTCTGAGCACAGATTTCTGCTCCCAGGATAAAGGAAGACTGACTTCAAACAAGCCTGGGGAGTTAGAGATAGAGACCTCTGGAGACTGAGAGACCTCTGTCCCCAGACCTTGTTTACCTCCCAGGGTCAGTAAACGTGGCACTCCCCTGACCCCTGTTCCTCTCCAGTTGTTGTTTCTACTCAGAACAAGGCTGGGGGGGGAGGGTGGGTAGCCGTCCTCTCGAAGCATCATGATTTCAGGCATCCCTGCTACGGGCCCCTGTGCTCACAGGGGCGCAGGCTCAGCACACCGCCCTGCGGGGAATGGGGTGTGGGGAGCCAGCACTAAGAACACTGTGTGAAGGAGTAACGGGTCTGTTCTCTGAGCCAGAAACCTTGTGTTTTCTGTCAGCAAAGATCAATATGGATGAAAAACAAAGTGAGTTAAGAATCTGCCAGAGAGCTTTCCTATCCAGGTCCACCCCTAAATATTTACACAAATTTTCACCTAAATAAGAAATGAATACAGAAACAAGCCTCTCCCAGGGACTAATCCAGCGGATAGTTACGGAGATACGCACTGCACCAGGCCCTGCATTCGACACTGGTACACAGCAAGCAAGCCGCCAAGGACCCTGCCTTCCTGGAGTTTACACTCTAGCAGGGGAGACAGTCAACACACACATAAATAGCCATCTCAGAGAGTCTTAAACGCTATGGAGAAAAATAAACCAAGTGACGGGAGGCTGTTGGTCTGACTGGGTGCAGGACAGCCTCTGAGAGGGTCACATTCGGCTGAGATCTGAACGGTGAGTCCAGCCCCAGGGAGCCCTGGGAGGCTGTTCTTGGCAGAGGGTGGTAAGGGCAAAGGCCCTGGGGCGGGAATGAACTTGACACAGTCAAGGACCAGGAAGGGGCAGTGCGGCTGGAAGAGAGTGGTCTGAGGGGGGTGAGGGTAGGGAGGCCCTGCCAGGTCTCCGGGAAGGAAGGGGACTGGGGCCACCCCAGGCCATCTTGGGACTGATCACACGCTGGCCCTCGGCGCCTATTTATTAAATGAACACACAGGAGTTAATCTCAGGATCCTGAGCTGAGAGCCCAGAAACATGCACTTTGCCACGTCTGCACATGGAGAGCTCTTTTGTGGAATCAGCCAGCCCCCCCATGTGGGGCACCGGTGTTGCTAATCGACAGCACGGTTTTCAAAGTGGCCACTGCAGACTCACTCCTCTGGGCAGAAATGGAACCTGCCATAAAGTCTGCAAACAGCTTGGGTTGAGGAGCCCTGAGTAAAACTCAGCTGCTAATAGCTCCAGCTTTTTGAATGTCTAAAAAGAAACCATCTTCTGCTGACCCCACAAGCACAGTGCCCTTCAAGTCCTGGAGACTCCTGAACATCTGAGAGATGCTATGAACCTCTAGAGAGGTGGCAGTGATGGAAGGAGCCTGCTGACTCCCTTTCCTAGTCCCAGTTATGCCCCAACTAGCTTTTGAGACTCTGAACTTCAGTCACTTCATCTGCAAACTGGGAAGGGGAGGGGTGGCTGAGCTCCAGGGGGGGCAGGGCACAGGAAGGTTTGTAATACTGCTGCTTTTATGAGCAGTCCTTAGAATAAAACCCCAGAAAACTCACCTCTTCGTTTCCGGGATTCCTTTCTTAAAAGAAGTGTGAGCTGAGAGCCCTGTGGTCCAGTGGCCTCTGCTTGGCACCCATGGGACATCCCTGAACTTCAGTGTCCTCCTCTGTGACACCTGCCTCACTGGCTATTGTAGGGCCTGAAGACAACTCGGGGGGAGATACCAGATCCATTAGAGGTCTTCTGAAGGGATGGGTGGGTATCTTTTAGTTGCTTTTAAAAGCTTATCCAGATTTCCATCAGATAGATGGCTGCAGTGAAGCCACTGGCAAAAATATGTGACCCTTAAATTACAAACACGAAGCCCAACATCTAAGCTTAAATCTGACTTCAGGAAAGAGTGCTGTATGTTCGAAATGGGTTTGCCTTTGGAGGAGGACATGCACTAGGTAACTAGCTGGCTGACTAGGGATGCTATGGGCCCACTGAGGCCTCAGTTGTTTGGGATGAGGACTGGACTGGACCCAGTAGCCAGGCCCTGCTTGAAAACCAAGTTGCTGTCCAGGGAGGTCTGAGCTGCTGAGCCACAGCCCTCCTGGGGCGACGGTGGGTTGGCAACTCAAGAGAGGGAAGGGCATCCCCTCGACCTCCCTCATTTAAACATTGAGAAACCAAGGCCCCCAAAGGCTGTGGCATAAGTGAACTCCACTGGGGACAAATCAGACTCAAGGGAAGAATGGAAAACCAGATGGAAGCACAAACTTTTTTGGAGGACAGGTAGGGGTGGGGTGGTTGCAAAGATTTCTAGAGGGAATTTCATCAAAAGCTAAATTTTCATCAAAAGCTAAAATGTACATGCCTTTTGACCAAGCAGTCTTATTTTAAAAATGTATACCTAAGATACAATAGCACAGATGGGCAAAGATGTGTGCAAAGATGTCCATTTCAATGTTGTTTATAATGGTAACAATAAAAAATAATCTAAAATGTCCACCAGCAGAGGATAGGCTAAATGAAAGATGGTACATCTAGGCAACAGGATATTTTGCAAACTTTAAAAAGAGGTCACTGACAGACTATCAAGTGGGGAGAAAAGCAAGTGAACAAATGGCATATATGATATGATCTAATTTAAATATATACAATTGCATATACACACACCCACATATATGCACACTACACACATGTGCACGTGCGCGCACACACACACACGTGAGAGAGGAGCGGCCCCCACCTGGTGGCCCATGAATTAGACGCAACCTTTCCCAGAGCCCAGGGCCCTGGAGTCAGGAGACAAGGACCCAAGTCCGTACCCTGGCAGGAAAGTCGTAAGGACACAGGAGATGCAGGAAGTGCTGGGGGCCCGGTAGGAGGGGAAGGGTACATTTCCAGAAGACAGGAGACACGCGAATGCTCACATTGACTCCATCTTTGAGCCAAAACTAAATAAGCCCCTCTCTTCAGGAGTCAGGAAAGCACAGACCGTCAAACCAGCACTTCACCTCGGAAGGACTTACCACAGCTGTGAGCCACTAATTACTGGTGCAATATTTGTTTAATGCCTGTATTCCCACCTCAGCTCCCCCTGAAAGCAGAGACCCCCAGAGAGCGGGGCCCATGGCTATACCCGGCCCCTGGCACAGTGCCCAACACAAGGTGGGCACTTAGTACACAGACTGCAAGGGATGGATGAGTGACTAGCACCGTTTCCAAAAGGCAGAAGGCTCTTTGGTTCCTCAAGGGTTTGTGTGCAGGGAACCCAAGGCCCCTTCTCCGGAGATCAGATCAGGTTCTGCACAGTGGGCGGGGGTCACTGAGGGAGGCCCCTCCCCAGCGATCCCTCCCATCCACACCAAACTCCCCGAAAATCACACAGGTAGTCAGGTGAATCTGTGTAGGGTCTGGGACTTGCTTAAAAATAGCCCCGTAGGGAGGGGTCTTTTGGGTGGGCTCTAGCCGCACCCAGGGTAGCCGCGAGCTCACGTGGTTTCAGTGCTGGCAATGGGGCCCCACAGCTTTGTTATTCTGTTCTCTCCACTTTTTAATATGTGTTTACAGGCTTCCATTTAAAAAGCAGAGTTTTTGTTTAAAGGAAATCACTTAAATGCCCACAGGAGGTTGAAATGGCCACCATGAGAGGCCCCTCTGTGGAGCTGGCTGTGCCCCAAGCGAGGCTGGGAAACTGCCGGCGGCTAACGGGGGACAGACCGCTCTGCACGCTGCCCCCCCGGAACTGGCCTGGAGGGGTGCGGCCCTCCCCAGCAGTGTGCGCAGGTCCGGGGCTGCAGGGGGCACGGTGGCCCCCCTTCAGCGCCTCCCCATCACTCTGGCAGCCCCAGTCAGGTCTGCTCTGAGGCTTTGCTTGGCTGCCATTTTTCCTGGAGGCCATCAACTCTCTTTCCCAGCCCCACAGGTCTGACCAGCCGGTTCAGGAGAAATGCAGCTTTTTCCGAACAGACCTCAGAACAGGCCGAGAGTTGAAGGCCTCCTTGAGAACCCTGTCCGATTAGGCTCTGTCCTCTCAGGGAGAGGCCGCTGTGAGCCCGGCCTCTTTCTCCTTCCAGTCAGGTGCCTCAGGCTTGATTTCCAGGCTTGACAGCTAACATCTTACCCTGCATATAAGCTACTGCCAAGGGCCACCTCTCTGGAACATTCTGTCAACCCTAAATTTAGCAAAGTGCAAGATATGAACATCCCATTATTTCATAAAGCCACACCACATGGTTGCAGGGTTTTTCTCCCCCCTGAAGATCTTCCATAAAATATGGCAGTCCTCGCAATGACCTTGAGGTTATTAAAATCTCAATTCATGTATTCCCCATCAGCTGGGCATGCTTGGTCACAAGGGCAGACGGGGAGTCAGGGACCGAGGATGCTGCCGCGTCCCCGACCCCACCCGACCAGGACATGCAGCTTGCCCTCTGTCTTGGAGGGGAGGTGGTCCCGGACAAAGGCCAGCCTCCTGCACATCAAATCCATGGCTCCCAAGAAGAAGGTGCCAGTGTGAGTCAGGCCGCCCATGAGGCCACGGGACGGGATGTTTCATCAAAAGTCACCCCAGTCAAGTCCAGCTCAGAGGTCCCATTGCTAAGCGGGGGTGGGAGGGTGCTGGGAGGCACCGCGCTAAGCGGGGAGGAGGGTGCTGGGGGGCACCGCGCACGCCTGTACTCCACCCACCCGCTACTGTCCTGAACTGGGGCTCCACTGGGGGACAGAGCGGGTGAGGGGCACCAAGGCTGCCAGAGCTGGCCCAGAGGACAGGACGAAAGTGGGGACAGGGAAATGGCTCCCTCAGCTGGCGCTTACAGGTAAAAAAAGGCCCCAGGTTGACTGGTACCCCTAGATAAGCCCCTTCCTGCCACCCCCAGGCAAACCAGAAAAGCTGAGCACCTTACCACACACGCCTGCACACCCCTATACAGGCACTCAGAAACACACCCACACACCCAACACACGGGCACTGACACACACTCCGGGCACCCTTGCACCCCTACTACACACAGCACATGCCCACTACACACACTAACCCCACGTGCACCACACACACTCTGTACCCCATACTCCACACTGCATCTCACACTCACTGATGCTTGAAAGAAACAGGGCCCTCACTGCCCCCAGGCATCCCATCCCCAGATTGCCTGGGGCATGGCCAGGACACAGGTTGGACCCTTTGGGGCCCTAACTTACTATCACTCTATAGACTCCATTCCTGGGAGCCCGCAGGCTCCCCTCGCTGCCGTAACTGGAAATCAGGAGTCTCAGGCAGGCGGCTACACCCACAGTGCCAGGACCTGGGGCCGGTTGTCATTAGCAAAGCTGTTTGTCTGTTATTTACTGCCACCTGCTGGTCAATTCTGGGACCTGCGCTCCAAGTAAGCGCTGAAAATGATAACATTTCTAAAACCTGCATAGATGAGAGGAGAAACAGGATTGCTCCAATTGGCCGCACCCTGCAATTTCTCGGAGGGGAGGAAGCCCATTGGATAGCCTGCCTCCTTGGTAAACTCAAGTCACTTGCCCCAGACAAGACCCCATCCTGCACGGGTCTGAGTTTTCCAGTCACAAGAGGGAATCGATGCCTCCTAAGATGTCTTTAGTTTCAAAAGTCTAACGTCTATATTACTTAACAGCACTGGAAACTGCTTGCCAGACAATGGTGCCTGGAAATAACAATTTTTAACAGTGGTTTTTTTCAAGTCCAGAGGGTCCATTAGCCGTGGGGCTCTTACCAATTAGGAGGATATTCTGTGCTGCCCACCTCTCCAAGAGTGGCTCTCCCCTTTCTGCCACCTTCTATCACTTCCCTCTCTGCCATGACTACTTGGGCAAAATGCAAAGACAAGTGCAAGGGGCCCCCACACCACCGAGACACCACAGCTGTGAGGCAGAGCCTCCAACAGTGGAGTCTGGTCTCCCTGATGAGGTTTTAGATGAGAAAAAAGACCATTTAAAAATAGACAATTCTATAAATAAATGGTACTCAGTAAACTAATAAGGCTTTCAATAAAAATGCTCACTTAGCCTACTGTGCATAATGATTTGATAATTATTCTTACAGGAATATGAAAGTCCCTGGGAAAACAGGAAGGGGTCAGCCAGGCTGTGCGGATTGGACCAAAGTGCAGTGTATGAACATTAAGTGTGTATGAAGATCAGAGTTAACGAACACGCTTCTCCTTCCATTGTAACGAAGCCGGGGCTGAGAACCAGTCCTGCCCCCACATCTCCAGGGCAGTGACAACGCCATTGCCCATGTGGCTGAGGTAAGAAACCCAGCAACCACTGAGAGACGGACACAGCCACAGCTGGGTTTAGGGATGGAAAAGGAGTGAGGGTGTATTTGTGTAACTGGCACGTGGGCTCAGTGCCCACCATGAGCTCGGCACTGTTCTAAGCATGTATTTGTTCTAATGCAGGTATTAACTCATGTAGTCTTCCTAACAACCCCACTTTACGGATTAGGAAACTGAGGCACAGAGGGAGGAAGTAATTTGCCCGAGGCCACACAGCAGCTAACAGATAGTGAAGCCCAGATTTAAACCCAGGCCATCTGGCTCTGGGCGCCGCGTGCTCAGTCTCTGGGCTCTCCGCGCACCTTGCAGGGAAAGGAGCAGCATGAATTCTGCCCCCTGCTCTGCATTTCCTTGCAGGGTGCCCTTGGGAGGAGTCCCCTTACCTCCCAACTGGGCTTTCTTTCTTTTTAAAAGAGAATTGCACCCCGAGGTCTGGAGCTACCAGCAAACCCCAATGCAGCACACCTGGAGTCGCATGGTCACCCAGCTCCTGAGGATCCGAAGCTGCCCGAGATCCGCCTCGCACCGTCACAGGGTGCAACGGTCAGGAACAAAGCCAAGAGGTGCCACTCAAGCCTCCCCTGCTGCGGAGCTCAGAGACGGCCACTCCTCCCGCTGTGCGGTAGGCGCTGGGCTCCGGCCCTTGAGGCTGGGCTGGTCTCACTAAGAATGAACGGCATCAGGTGGAAGCTCATTCTGGGGCCTCTGAGGCTGGGCCACAAGAAGCCTGCTAGCCTCCACCCCAAGGACCACCAGCACCCTTGCGCTCCCTGGGATGCCTGGATGCCCACCTTGTAAAAGGCTGACTAACCTGAGGCCACCTGGGCTGTGAGGAAGCCCGGGCCAGCCACGTGAAGAGGCTGCATGTAGAGAGATGCCTGACTGGCCCCAGCTGCTCCAAGCATCTCATTCCAGGCACCGGGAATGGGAAGAAGGATCCACCCTGGACTCAGGGGAGCCCAAGCGGATGCAAGAGGGAGAAGAGCCCAGGAGCCAAGCTGACACCAAACTGAGACGCAGTTGTAGGGCCCGGAGGGGCAAGCCCTCTGCCTCCAGCTGCTCGAGCCGTGCTGGCCAAGGCCCAGGTCAGTATGAGTGCAGTCAAGCCCTCCCTGCCGTGCCCTGCCTGAAATCCTGACCCACGAACTCAGGAGCATGATAAAATCATCATCATTTTATGTCATGAAAAAGTCAGGGAGCTGCAACACATAACTGGGGCACCAGAGGTATGGCAAACCGGGCCTTTGCCGGCTCCTGATTACCACGGGACCAGCACCCAAAGCTGGCAGCAGTCACAGGAGAACAAGATAGCCCCAAACCCACATGCGAAACATACATGCACACCCACTGTGTCCTGCCACTCCCACCATTACTCCCACAGCCACGACGGTGATGACAGCCACTACCGTTAATACTAAGGATAGTAAGCGCCCAAGTAATGGTCTGTGGGGCACCCCGCAGGGTGCTGAGCATGTGTGTGGACACGTTTCTGTTCTATATACCTGACAACCAGCGACTGAGACACTGAGAACCTCCCCTCGCAGATGAGGAGGGCAGCTCTGAGGAGCCTTGTGCTTTGCCCAAGGTCGCACGGCCAGGAAGTGGCTGGTCTAAACTGGAATCAAATGGTGTGCTTCTAGAGCCCAAACCTGAGGTCACCCCCCAACTGCAGGGAGCCGCCACCGCTGCCCGCCTCCCTGGAGGCCGTGGAGATGAAGGGGGCTCCCCCTCTGGCAGGCGGGCAACAGAGGGGTCCTGGGCCAGCGGCTGTGAGGTCCTTCATTCACTTGTCCACAGACATTAGCTGAGCCCCTACTATGAGCCAGGCTGGTGCCAGGGACTGGGGAGCAGACAGTTGGCCGGGCAGAGCATGGGCGTGAGGTGCTGGGAGATGCTGGGGTAAGGAGGGGACCCCGCTATGATGTGTGAGACCCAAGTTCCAGCAGCCAGGATCACACGGGGTAAACCAAACATGCATTCAAGGTCCGAGGTGGCAGGTGGGAAGGAAAACGGGGCCTCTCTCCTCACCTGCCGCCTCCCCTGGTCCCGTAAAATGCCCCACAATCTCCGGGCTGCCCTGCAGCTTCCACTTCTCGCTCAGAGCAGCGCAGATGGGGCAGAGCTAAAGGGTGTGTCACAGCTGTGCCCGGTTCCCTGCGGGGAGCCTCAGCACCACCTTCCGGCTGACAAGCCCGGCCAGCCCCACGTCCCTGATCCATTTCAGAGATGCGGCAACTGTCCAAAGGGTAGGGGCTGCCGAAGGTCACCAGGGGCAGCCTCCGTTCCTCACATCAGGCCCCGCTCACAACCCGAGGAGAAAGAAGCCGGTGTCAGCTCCATGTGGGGGACATTGCGAGAGGGAACGGGGCTCCGGGCAGCACCTGGGAGGGCGGCCCAGACGGCTGCACAAGGAGACCACCTGGCTGGAGAAGGCTGGGGCCTCAGGGTCTGCCTGTCGCAGACGATTTCACAGCTGAGTGGGCTGGACGTCTCTGGGGTGCCTATGGAGGGGAAATGCTTCCAGAAGCTCTAGTCAGAGTGAGAAGGACACTGTGCCCCTCGGGCACATCGTAGGCTTCCCAGAAACGGCTGGCTCTGGTTTCGTTTCATTTTGTAATCTGGATGCCCAACACACAGCAAGCCCTGGCTGGACATTCAGTCCAGCAAAACCATCAGCAGCTGTCCTGCTCTGGGACAGCCAGGTGCTCAGAATGGCACTGGACATGACATTTCGGTGAATGGATGCACAGGTGAATGGAGAGCCTCTCACTGCCTCAGTTTCCCCACTGGACTGGCCATGAATGAAAATCTTTTTCACCTTTTGGTGACACACCTTTTGATGACACCTGGCAAAGCAACATTTTAATACAGAGGAGAGGAACGCCCACTTTCGTGTTGAAAGCCTAGTTTAAAGAAAGGGGCAGGACCCTTTAGGGGGACAAACCTGTTGCTAAATGGGGGCGCTGACCCCCTTCCTATAACCATTCTCACTAGCAGGCCCTCTGGCTGTCTTATGCTCTGAGACCTGCTGCTTGTCGGGCGCTAGCCTGGCCTCGACTTCCTCCCCGGCGGAAAGACGCCTACCTAGTTTCCATTCGGAGATCTTTGTAGAAGTCCCCGTGGAGAAGTCAAAAGTTTGACTTGAAAAAAGGAGCTACTTCAAAAGCATTGTCAGGCCGAGGTGAGGGTTCCTTTAAAGAGCATGAATTACAGGGCGCCCACTAATCAACCTGCACAGGCTGCCCAGTGGCAGGGGCTGGGTGGGGGCGCCAAAGGGACGTTTGGGGGCACACTGGGGGAGGCGAAGCCAATAAAATACAGGTTGAATAAAAGAGTGAGTTAATGTGTTTATTACTTACTGCTTGGAGAGAGAGAGAGTGTGTGTGTGTGTGTAGAAAAATGAAAGAAAAATGTAGGGTTTTTTCTATAATAAAAAGGGAGTTGCACTGCGGGGCCCCTAAAGCCTGTGAAAAATTAAACTCGACGGATTCAAACTGTCCTATTTCCACTTCAAAAGCGATGAGGCACTGAGCTCTTCCCAACTTATCTTCAAACGCCCAGCACCCTAGAAAGTTTCTTTAAAAAAATAAAGCCTCCTGTTCCCCCAAGCACTGTACTGGTTACTGTACCCACTGTCTCTCCCTCTTCTAATTATACCCCTGTGAGTCTATTAATCAACTGGTAAATTATTTAGAGAGTCATGTGCTGTCTTCAGCTAGTACAAACACAGCACATGCAAGACTTGCTGGAAACGGGCAGAGGCCCCTCAGGGTCCCCGCTCCGCGCAAGACAGCTTGCAGCTCACCGAGGCCGACCGTTAAACAAGAAATAGCATCCCGCTCACCTCCTCAAATGGGAGGATTTACTTTGTCTTTCAACTCAGCAACTCTTTGCAAGTTTTTAACAAAAGAGAAAAGCTGGTCTATTGTCAAGTCTTTAGTGTGCATTTAGTGATGGGAAAATTAATTCCCCCTAAGAAATGGCAGCACTTCGACTTGCTCTGATCTGTGTTTTGTGGGATGTGGACACATGGAAGGCTCTGGAAAATGCTTGTAATCATCCCAGTTCGGGGCTGGTTTGGCTGGTTTGTGTGAGAGGGCTCAGTTGGCTAAGCTGAGGTCTCACTACCAGAAATGGTGCAAAGTAGCCTTGAGTCTCACATCTCCCACCTCCTCTTGGGCTCCACTAGGCCAGGAGGGCCCTTCTCCAGACAGACATGTGTAGGCAACAGAGGGGTGCTGGGGAGGGGCACAGGCAGCGCTCAGGGGTGGTCTGTCTTCCTCATTACCTTTCCACACATCAGCACTTGTGCTTTGGGGGGAAAGTTCTTACACCAGCTAAATAGTTGTTTTCCCACCTGAAAGTCAGTTCATGTCTGGCGCGGGCCCCCAAGGAATTTGCGCCTTCCTGCAGCTGAACCACTTCCGTGTTGGGGGAATGCTGGCAGGGTGGGGCTGGCTGGAAAGGCGAAGTGAGTTGGGAGCTCACTGCAATCTGGCCCACAAGTCAGTTGGCAGGTGTTGGAAAGGGGCTCCCTTTCCTCTCCTGGAGAGACAGATGTGAAAAACCAGCATCTGACTCAAAACCTCCCCACTGGGGATGCCCCCTCACGGCAGTCCCGACCCGATGACCCCGCACATTCTGAGTGCAGCGCAGACGGATCAGGATGAGCATGTCTCACGCTTGAGCAAACACCCGGGCCAACAAGCACAAGATACACCTTCGGCTGTTTTAAACACCTTCCCTGGTGGCTGTTCTCCTGAAAAAGTCCAACCAATGTTCAAGAATGAAAACAATTCCCAGAGCCAGGGTAGAGGGCAACCCTTCTGAACCAAAAAGATGGTGGCGTTCCACTAACTCCACCCAGCAACCTGGAACTAGGTTCCACCATCACCAACCACACCTGAACCATGATTTAGGCCTGAAATACCCAAGAGAAGGGCTACAAATAAAACCATGCAGACTCCCTTCTGAAGGGTGAACAAAGGCCGATGTGGGAGGCTGGTTTTATATGAAGTGGAAGTTTGAGCACCAGACATCCCAGTGGACAAAGACAGAACGGCTGCTTTTGTTGGGAAGCTCTAGGTCTCTGGAACTAAGAAATCACACCTTCCACAAGGCCCTTGAGTAGGAAGGAAGCCCCAGGAAAGGAGCTGAGCGCACATTTGGAGGTGGTGGCCACTGTGAGTCAGCAATGACTTAAGCAGAGTTGAGATCCTGTGCCTGATCTCAGGGCGAAAATAAGCATCCTCACACATTGCCACAGAACACATTGGAGACAGAGTCTATCGGCATAAACTATCTAATTGTGAAAGGTATGCAAACAGCTGAGAACTTAGTTTTTCAAAAGCCCAGGATAGTTTTTACTATTTCATACCCATGTAAAAGTGACAGGAGCTTCCTGTAGCTAAGCCTGCATGATTGAAGGCCCGACCCTGGGTGTCGTGTGCAGCCCAAACTCCCGTTGACTGTCATGGAGGTTGCCTGCATAAAGAACGCCGTGTGCAGAACCCTGGGGAATAAATTTGTTCTGTTCACTGCAGCTAGAGTCAGAATGAGTTTAGTAGGAGGTCAGATCTATATATTTCCAAGTCCAGGGAACAGAATAAGCAGCCCTCCAGCCCTCTGTCCATGGTGCTGTTGCCAAGAGCCTAGGATCAAGAGATTTAGGACAAACTAAGATGGGGCCCTGGAGTCCTTTGCCCAGTAAATGTGAAAAGATGGGAAAACAACACAGTTATTAATTTTGTTGCTGATTCGAAAGAAGGAGGTGTTGGCAGCACCTGTGAGGACAAAAAAGAACATAACTAAGTCTGCAGAGGTCACGACTGGGACATAACATCATGAGACCTCATGGGGGGAGAAAGAAGAAGTGGCTTCATGGGGGGAAGATGACACCTGATCTGCTCAGCTGGACTGGCCGTGGTGAGGATGACGGCGGCGAGGGTGGCCGGGAAGCACCACCACAACAAACCCACCTGCCTCTGGGGCTCACAGCTCCAAGGTGAGTGCAGAGGGCATGTGCCCACAGCAGGGACCCGGAGCAAGCGGGCCAGCAGCTGGGAGCACAGGGCAGGGGCCCCAGAGGAGGAGGAGGTCCAGAAGGCACTGCCTGGCTTGGGGGGTGTTGAGGGATGGCCTCTGACCCTGGCTTGGCTACCCGGTGGGATTCTCTGGCAGCGAGACCTGCCGGCTCAGCCCCAGAGGGATGAGGCCGCCCCGCTGAACTCCCTGAATCCTGCAGGTGTGCCAAGTCAGTGTGTGAGAACCCCTGCAGGGGATGGCCAGCCGCTCTCCGCGGTCCCAGGAATGCCCCAGGCAGCCAGGGCAAAAGTATCTGAAGCGGGAAATCTGAGATGCGTCCACGGGCCCCCAGAGGCATGGAGGAGCACCACAGTGTCCCTGGGCTGGCAGCCCTGGCAAGGGGTTCAATGCACCCTTGTGCATTCAGGAGGGACCTTCTGTCCTAGGGCGGTGCTGGGAGGACGGGCTCACCTGTCCCACTTCCCAGGAGGCCTCACTCATCAGCTGGTCTCATCCCTCAGCCCTGGAGGGCTGTCCTCCCGCTTCTGCCTCCACTCAGTCAGGGCTCTTCCGGGAAAGGACTGGGGCCAGTCTCCCCATCCCCACCATTGGGGTATGACCGGTTCTTGGTCAGAGGCCACCTCCGCATCTCAACTGGCTTGTCCCCAGTCCTGGACTTCCGGGTATGTTAGGAAGCTCGAGCAGGCCCTCAGACCCCAGCCACATTCTCCGGCTGATGCTCCGAACAAGCTCTGGGTCCACCTCCTACGGGTTCAGGACTCAGGGTGTGAGGTGATGTGGTTGATCACCACCCCCACAGGCCCGGAGGCGTGCACCCAAACATGGGTCCCAGGCCTCAGCAATGCTGGATTCCAGAAGAAGGGGGGGCCTGGGCTGGGCCGCCGCTGAGTTATCAGAGACGAGCAAGCCTGTGGTTAGCTAAAGCCGGGTTTCTGCATTCAGTCGGACCTTCTCTTCAAAACCGAACGCAGCCGAGAGTCATTGTAATTTTCTTCCCATTTCCGTTGGTGGTGAAGCAGGCCCTGCCAGATCTGAGTGCCTCCCAAGCTCCTCTGCCAGCAGAGCGCTTTGGTTTGCCTGACAGCTTCCGCGCAGCCCACTAACGAGACCCTGTTAGTGGTCATGGATGCAAATGCGTTTTCTTTGTTACACCCGTGAGGTCAGGATTAGTGAAATGACAGAATGTATTGCTTCAGTGAAGAAGATATGATGCTGGTTGCTCTAGCTTTAATTTTGTAGGAAGTGTGGAGTATAGAGCTATAGGGGAAAGAGCTATAAACAAAGGCTATACGGGAAAAAATTCAGTGCAAAGCATTGAAGATCAAAGCTACCTGATGTTACTACTTTACGGGAAATTGAGAATTGTGCCATCTCCTTCATATTCACCAAAAAATCCCCAAAAACAAAAAACAAAAAATTCCTCTGCCTCCTGACCACCACTGAAAAAGACTCATTGAGTTTATTTTTACCGGCCAGAGAGTGAGAGAGATTTGAAGAAGCTCCACGACTGATTTCGGAAAAGGGGGATGGGGCCTCTAGAAGCTGCAAAAGCCAAGGAGACAGATCCTCCGCAGAGCCTCAGGAAGGCTCTGACACGGTGGCTTCAGGACTTCTGACCTCCAGAATGGGCAGATAACAAATGTGTGCTGCTTTAAACCACCGTATGCTTCGGCAGCAGTACAGAAGGACTAAGCGGGCAGTGCCCAGCGATGGCAGTCACAGAGGGCGTGAGCATCCCGTGCACTGAGGAGTCACAGTTGCTAATGGCATGACCTTTAACCCAGTGCATCAATTTATCCTAAGGTATCGGGGTGTTTGCAATCTTGTATAGGTATGAGTATATGCATTATGGTCCTACTGAAGGAGTACAAATTTGGAAGCCACCCAAATACTTTCTGTAACTTTTTACTTAAAAATAAGTACACGCAAGTTGCAAAAAGAGTCAAAGAATTCCTGCAGGCCCTTGTCCAAAATTCACTGATTATTAACATTACCTTCTCTGCTTGATCACTGTCTTTATCTCTGAACCACTAAATGCTTGTTAGTAGGGAATTAGATTATCATCCAGTCCATTCAATGGAATGCCATACGGCAAAATTTTAAATGACATAAATCTGGTAACTGTGATTACATCCACTTACTATTCAACAAATAGTTCCTTAGGGTGCTAATCACCACTCCCAGCCCCACCCCAGAGAACCCGCAGTTGGCACCGTTGCAGGGAACCAGGCTTGGGTATGCACGAGGCGCTCCAGCATCGCCTCTGAGCACAGCTGTCTCTAACAGCATCCTCCCAGGCACTGCGGACACACATCCCATCCGGTCTTCATGAGAACCTGTACCCAGGGATTTCATTTTCCATTTCACACTCAGAGCCTGGGGCTCAGTGGAGCCACATGGCTGGTGGGGGGTGGCACCGGGATCCGAACCAGACAGGGAAGCACCAAAGTTTGCATTGGTTTTTACTCTTGCCTGGTGCCCCCTGGTTCCATCCATCCTACTCACTGTCACGGCGGCTTAGGGATGAACAGACTCACTCACTAACCCCCCGCTTCACGGATCACCGTGTCTGATGGCTTCGACCCCACACTGTGGACTAGGAGAAGGGACTTGGGAGCCCCAAGCCAGGATGTCATCCCAGGGGCCCTTTGGGCTTATTGTTAGGAACAAGCAGCCTGTTCTTATGTTTTATATTAACTTAGTCTATCCAGGAAATTGTAGAAGGCAATTCTGCCAGGAGGGTGTCCTGGTCAACTCACACATCGTCCATTACAACGGCAGCTTTGTTCCTGGGTTGATTCTCTTTACAGTCTAAGTACATGTTCACATCTGACCCGATCCCTGAGCTTGTACTGGCTGCACAGAGGAGTCACAGTATTTTACGCAAGAGAGGAAGGTGTGGGTACATGGACAGTACACTGCCCAGGGAAGAGACGCAGAGACCAGGGGAGCCCAGATGTGAACTGGCTGCGTGGCCTCAGCAGCACTCCCTTCTCTATTTGTGGACCCAGGAAACTACTAGATTGGTCTCGGACTGGACGAGACTGATCCAGCACCCTTCCTGGGGGCTGGATCCCGGGAATGCTTTCAGATTACAGACCACAGAGGGGTCTGGAGAGATGAGCTGGCCCAGCAACCCCCCTCCAAGTGAGCGTCCAGCCCCTGAAGACCAGTGGCCGGTTAGTCCTTACATCTGCAAGGCTGTCTAAACCTTCCGGCTTCAGAAAGCTGATTAAACAGGAGTATTTGTCCATATTTCTGTACATCAAATAATAAAGCGTGTGGCTGCTCTGTGGCCTCTCCTGGATCTCATTTTTAAGTGTTATCAGTTAACGAAAAGCAAACATTCTAGAGAAACAGAAAAATTCCAAACCTCCGGTGATAACACATTAGGTCTCCAAACCCCCCTCAGTCGGGGCGGGGTTCGAAGTCAGGAGGACTTAGCAGGCAACAAAAACAGAGCCTTTGTTTACAAGAAAGCCCAATTTCCACTTACCAGCTGTTTTGCCCAATTTGGGTCCCTGGCACTCAGCGAGGCTCCCAAGGAGCAGCCTCTCCCCAGGGTGTCAGGTGGTGGCAATTATGGGAAGTCGGACTCACCTGCAACCCCCTTTTCAAAAAAGGGCTGGATGAGCCCACCGAGGCTCGACTTGTCCGCCACAGCCTCCTTCAGCAGCTGCCCGCAGCAGACTGGAGGGGAGAGAAGAGAAGGACACCCGTTAAATTTTAAATAGAAGGAGGGATGAGAAAAGAAGAAACCCCAGAGCTGCCTGCTAAGGAATAAGAAAGGTCACTGAGAAAAATATAAAAGGGTTTTTCTGAGTGGGTGTGTGTCTAAGTACAAGCATTAAAATGAAATTGGGAGATAAAAAGGAAGCTGAGGAGGAAAGTGTAGAATGAAAAGAATGCATCTGGCAAAGAATGTATTAAAACTGGGAGGACACTAGCAATGTCACCTTTGGAGAAGCTCCGGCAGGGCACCGACCGTGCCCGGGACTGCTGGACGGGAGGCTGGCCGGTGTTGAGGACTGATGCCAGGGGAGAAGTGCTCGGACCCGAGTGACGTGCCACAAGCACGTTCCTGTTCCCTCAGGTGCTGCTCAGGGGAGGGCAGGGAGGCCTGCTCCCACAGCCTTGCAGCTGCCAAGGTGTTTCCACAGGGTGATGGGTCCACAGAGAGGGTCAGTTTACATAACGAAGGGGCTCACTCCTAATCAAGGCAGCACACAGGAGTCACGTGGCCAGTAGCTGCTCACCCTCTTTGCAGGTGTGGTCTATGCAAGCAGGAGCCTTTCCGTCACGAGCCCCACAGTGTCAACACCCAAGAGGCATCACTCAACAAGTGTGCAGCGAGTAAACACAGGCTAACCTCTCCTTGACCATAAAAGCCTTTTCAGCCAAAGCTGGAAGGTTCAAGCTGTATTTTCATGAATTGTTCGTTACATTATCTTGCTTTTCCTAACTTTACGGCCAAGGAGTTTTCTTCCTATATTAAGGAAAACAAAAGCAATCCTAAAGTTAACTGGCAAAAGTGAATGTTTAAGACAACGACCATGACCAAAGATATAGCCCTCAATGATGACATGCTCAGCTCACTGTGTGCGCGACAGCAGTGCTGGTATTCAGAGGGGCAGCCTCACGCTCTTCGGGAACCAGAGGCGCTAGTAAAGACCGCTAACAGGTCTCTCTATGCGCCAAGCGCTGTGCTGAGCATGCCTGTCCTATTCAGTCCTCGTGATCATCTGTTGCTTTTTACATAAGAACACAGACTAAGAGAGGTGAAGTGCCCTGTTCCAGGCCACAGAGCCAGTCAGCGGCAGAGCTGGATTCACACCCAGGCCCATGTGGCACCGAACCCACCAAACTTCCGGTTCTGGCCAGGAAGGAGTGAGAGGTTTCATATTTACCTCCTGTCATAAAAACACATAAATGGGACAACATATATGAAGCAACTCCTCAGGCTTTGGACAACAGGCAGCACAGGGCTGTGACCCTTGAGAGAGGGAAACGCAACAAGTGAGGCCAACTTCACCCGGGGCTTCTACCTACGGGCACTTTCAGACCAGCCCTCAGGAGGCGTGGAACCCACACGGAGCAGTGGGCAGCAAAGACTGGAGTCTGGGGTCTGAGACGGCTGGGTCCGGGGAATGGGGGGCAGAGAGAAAGGAGCTGTGCAGAGAAAGGGCTTCAGAGATCTGCATGGGGGTTCCCTGGGGGCTTTGGGTAATGCAGAGCTGCACATGTGTGGGGTGAGATTCCACCAGGCCTGGCAGAGAAGCTGCCGGGAGGCTGTGAGCTGCCTGGAGATCTGCACAGCGTGGGGAGATGCCAATGTGAGAGACGGCACTGAACACCCCAGACATCCAGCTAAGACTCCAGGAAGGCCACACCTCAGGGGCAGGGATCCACTAGCCCAAGAGAAAGCACACTCTAGTCCGACCTTAGCAAAGACTGAAAATGAGCCTCAATGTGATCAAACTGATTCTCCTAAATTAACTGCCTGTTAGAACGCAACTCCTTTTAACTCAATATTCCTAAAGCACAACCACACAATCTAGACTTCCACAATGTGAGAATCACAACGTTCAGCATATAATTAAAAAAACTACTTGAAATGCAAAAAAAAAAAATCCAGGAAAATGTGATCCCTGCACGGAGAGAAAACAGACCAGAGTCAGATCAAGGGATGACAGATATCAGAATTTGTGCAGAGGAATTATAAGAATTATTATAAATTTGTTTAAAACTCTAAAGGAAAATATAGTTAAAATGAGTGAACAGATAGAGAATCTCAGCAGAGAAATGGCAACTCTAAAAAGAATGAGATGGAAATTCTAGAACCAGAAAATACATATCTTAAAAGTAAAACAGTGCTGGATGGGCTGCAATCAGTGAATCTGAAGACAGGAAAACAGGCGACAGAAAGTATCCAAGCTAAAGCAAAGGGAGGGCGGGGGCGGGGGGGACAGGGCAAAGAAGATGAGGACCGTAGGGGCCTGGACGACAATACCAAGCAGTCTAGTATATGTGCAATTGGAGCTCCAGATAGAAGAGACACAGAAAAATGTATCTGAGAAAGTCACAGCTGGAGGATTTCAAAATTTGATGAAAAATATCAACCCACAGATTAAAGAATCTCTGAGACCCAAGCAGAATAAACACAAAGTAAACCACACCTTGATATATTATAGTTAAATTTCTGAAAACTAAAGAGAAAATATTAAAGGCAGCTGGGGGTGGGAGAGATGCATTCTACATAGGGGAACAATGACAAAAATGATCTGCGTTTTCATCAGAAGAAATGCAAGCCGTAAGACATGGAACAGCGACACCCTTACAGTGTCGAGAGAAAACAGCAAGATCCCATGCGCTGCCGGCACCGATCTCTGCAGGCAGCAGAAACAGCCCTCGAGAATGAGGGTGAAGTAAAGGCACGTTCAGGCGGACGGAAGCCGAGGTCGTCACCCACGGGCGTGCACTATAAGGAAGGTTAAAGGACGTTCTTCAGGCCGAAAGCAAATGGTATCAGGTGGAAACCTGGATCTAAACAAAGGAGTGAAAAGTGTTGATATATGTATATCACTTCCTGACTCACAAACACATCAAATGACTGTTTAAAGCAAAAATAATTACAATATACTGTAGGGCTTATAACATGTGGTATGGTAACAAGAGAAGAAAGGGTAGCAGCAAGGTAGCAGCAGGACCCACCTAGATCCTTAGGTTTTTCTCATTTTTTTCTACATTTGCCCTATCTGTGCACCCAACGACATGCACTGCATACAGCAGGCACTCAATGAGTTAATGGTAACATTTTAATAAAATTCTTCATGGTTATTTCTGGGTAGGAAATTCATGCTCATTGCAAAGTAAAAAATAAAAGCAGAAAAGGTTTAATAGACCACTTCCCAGAGATAACCAGTTTGGAGTGCGGATGTTCCTTCAGCTTTTTTCTGAGCACACATAGACTAACAAAATGAGATTTTTAAACAAAAATGAGATCATCCCCTGAAAAGCAAGCTGAGTGACTTGCTTCCTGGCCCCTCCCTCCATTATGTGGGTTCATCACGGCTTACTTAACTAACCCTCTTATTAATAGAGTTGGGGGTTTCCTCTATTTTTCATTACGCGTTCTTCCCATTTCTTGTTAAGGATCTGAGTATTTCAACAGAATAAAATCCTAGGAGTGAAATCACTGGGCCAAAGAATTTGCAACAATAGTGCGTTAATCAATAGTGGCCTTTATCTTTCAAAAAGTTGTGCCTGTTTATTTTCTTGCCAATCTTTCAATAACAGTAAATGTTGGGTTGCTTGTTGGGAGATGCTTTCCCGTGACTGAGATGTTCATAAATGTGGGGATAGGAACCAAGCCACTGTAACTCTTCATGTCCCTTCACGTAACAGTGAGTGCAGGTACTTAACAAGCATGTGGCCGTGGCTACAAGCAGACTACTGCTCATTCTTACTGGAAGTCATCCTTAATCTTAACTGGAAATTTAGCTTAGGATACTCTTAAGATGTAAAGTTAAAAGGAGAAGGAATTATCTGAATAATTTAGTTTAAAAAAAATGGATGCAAGCAAAAGCAATTTTTTATCTTGAAGTGTCCAGATTATTTTTCTAAGCTAATCAAATCAGATACTACTAATAGGACTATTACTATGTTTCATTACTGATCAGAATCTTACTTCTCTACCTTCATTGTATGGGTATGATTTTTGTCCTTAAATCCCTGGCTAGTCTCAGTGGCTTTGGAATTTTAAGTTGGAAGAGACCTAATTGAAAAACATTTTTATTCAAAACTTGATCCTTCTGGGGTGGTGTGTGTGTGTGTATACATATATATTTGTGTGGTGTATCTGTATGATTTGGGGGCATATATATGCACATTTATACATCTGGGGGGTGCAGGTCTCATGCTTCCTTGTGAACAGAGGCTATGCAGGATTTCAGAGCATGTGAAGAAGGGGCTGGGGCAGCCTGTAACTGCCTCCAGCCGCTCCGTGTCCGCTCTGCCGCTTCCTCCTTGCAGCCCTTTATCCTCCTGAAGGGAGGCTGGCATCCACGACCACCTGGGACCACCTGGGAAAGACCTGGAGAACTGATTTCAATATTTTCTCTCCTCCTGGTAAAATATTCATTGAAACTGTGCTGAGCAAGAGGCCTTCCTCTAAGCAGCTGCACGTATGCCAGGGCTGCGGCTTCCAGGGAGATGCTGAGTCCAGGCACCACTGCTCCAAAGCCGAGAAAAATGATGGCTGGAAAATGTGCAGGCTCTTTGGGCTACAGACATGTTTCCATTGGTTAATGTTTTTATGGCAATATTCTTCGGGAAGAAAAGCTTATCCCTGCAAAGATGGGCTAACTGAAAATTGTTCAGAGCAGAGAGCAAGACAGAGAAGTGATACTGACCCTTTCTCCAGGGCCCTGCAAGGAGGGAAAGCTTGGGAGGGCAGGAGGCAGGGGAAGGTCCTGGAAGCAGGGCACTCACCGTTGATGAGGCCATATTTCTGGGCCAGGAGGGCGGCTTGCAGACTTTTCCCACTGCCCATGGGCCCGCAAAGCAGCACCCGAGGGGTGAATGGGGCATTAGATCGATGGCTGGTCTGGACATAGGTCAGAGCTGGGAAGAGAAGATGTGAGGATAATAAACTCAGTCCTGAAGAAAAGGAAACCAGCTCACATCCCCGGTGCTTTGACTTTTTTAATGGCAGCAATTACTTCTCTCTTTTCCAGCACCATGGAAACTCTCTGTGCATCCACTCAGCATGGCCGTAGGGCAAAGCTGCAGGGAAGGAATTATGCTTCAGGCCTGGGAACCAGGGTGGGAGGAAGCAGCGAAGCCACAGAGCCACCCTCTGAGTGGTGCCCTGGAATTCCTCTAAAACGCTGTGGGGTCACCTGCACTTCCCTCCCGGTTGAAGGGGGGCTGATCCCAGATCGCAGGATGCACACCATTGGGTGGGGATATTTCCAAGTTGAATCCAGGCTAAGCCTCTACCTGAAGCCCCATACCAGGCCTGTCTCCTGGTGTCAGATACAGGCTTTGACAAATGCGCCAGGCCACGTGGACCTAGCATATAGGAACTTCTGAAGGACACAGGAATTGGAGAATAGTTCGCTGCTGCACTCTAGTGACACCACTTTGTTTCGAGTCTCCAAAGAGGCAGCGATCAAATAGGTGCCAGGCATGCGCACGCGCAGCTGCCCTGGCATTTGATGCACAAATAAGTGGGGAGACAGGGATGAGTGTCTCTGACACTGAGATGACCGACCACACCATGGGCAACACTGGACCCCAGGAGCTACTGAACATCAAACCAGGTCACCCCCTACCCGAGCACAGGGGAGGGTCCGTGAGAGACGGCAGCAGAGGCCATTAAAGGAGCCACTCAGCGCTGGGCCCAGTGCAGGCTGGGGTGCCTGCATCAAAATGGGGCTCTCCTTACCCAGCCCCGCCTCCTGCCCAGACTGAGACCATCCTATGTGAGGTCAGCTGCGGGCGGCCCTGTGACACCTTCCCGCCTTGGGCTGGACGCCGCCCTGGGAAGGGTGCTGAGACAACACCTCACCCTCCTGAACCTGGCCGCCCTGAACCACTGACAGGTACGCAGTGTTGGCTGGCCTCACACTCCTGACGTCTTGGGCATATATCCCTGGCCTCTAGCCACCAGGTGCCAGCAGCACTCCCCGAAGCTGTGACAACCACGAATGCCCCCGGACATTCGTGCCCCCTAAATGAAGAGGGGCAGAGCAGGCAACATTGAGAACCACTGGGGTATGTTCATTGTGAAGATTCTGGCCTCTCAAATTTTTGCAGGACTCTTTTAAATTAAGAGGATGAGGAGGGATTCCACAATTCACCTCTTTTTTTAGAACTAAAGGCACAGGTAATTCAACCGACTGTCTTCAAGGCTGTGATAGTAACTGTTGTCATGATCGCCAGCATGTTATTAACTGCTGAGCTAAACATTCTGTAGGCATTACCTCATGTGGCTGGTGCAACAGCCCAAGACGGATGTGTTGTTCTTGTCCCCACCTTACAGAGTTGGCAGGGCTGGGGCAACTCTCCCAAGCCTACTCTTGGGGGCAACATCTTTAATGATGTTAAATATTGTTACTTATTTAATATAATAGCAGGAGGAGGCTATTCAAGCAAGTCTCTCTCTTCTCAGACCTTCCATGATCCAGTGCATCTGAAATGCACAAGTACCACAGGCAAAGCAGCCTGCTTACAAATGGTGCTTAATTTACAGTAAATAACTAAGTTAATTAGAAGTAATGATCCCCCAGACAGTCTCAACATCTAATTATTCTTTTTAAAAATATGTGGGTGTTGGATGCACTGCAGAGAGATTAAAAAAAAAAAAACAGAATTTTGCATTCCAATTTTCAATTTATCTCTCTGCATTATTAACTAATAATAACTAATATTCAGGCACTCACACTTTTATTTACAATTCCAGGCATGAATTCTTTATGAACAATCATATGAACTTTTAAATTTAATTAAGTAATTTGGAAGTAATTAATGTGTAAATTTGGAATCATGGCATAAGATAAATGTGGTGGTGGTTTATCTTCCAAGTGCACTGTTTGCTACTAAAGACCCTTCTGAGATGCAAAATCCCTGGAAGAGTGTAAAGTTCCCACAAGCTTGGCTTTTCTGAAGTGCGATCATCTCCTAGCCATCCGCACAGCAGCTGGCCTCTCAGTACAGCAAGGCCACGCAGGCGGCCGGCTGTTCAGCACCACCTCCTACCCGAACAACACTCTCCCTGAGGAGATGCGAGAGAACACGAAGGAAACGCCCCACAAACTGTACAAGACTTAAATGTCTGTGGTGGCACTTTTATTGTCATCTGCCTGGCAGTGCACAGAAGGGGCTTGCTGGATATGGCGGCGACTGAAGCTTGGCAAGACTTTAAAAAATCGTAATCCAGCTGCTTTGGGAGAGATTGTTCTAAGTTGCCCTTGCCTTTTGGACAGGACACTGAACCCCAATGGTAGCAGTGATGTCGGTCCAAGCTGCTGCACTCACCACTGTGGACACAGATTTGCGGAGTCCCAAGTAGCCTTTATCTACGCCTGAGAGGCATGCAGGGTTTTTGTTCCCATTTTAGGGATGACACACCTGAGGTGTAGAAGGGGTAAGAGAGTTGCCAAAGCCAGGGAGTGGTGGGGATGAGATCTGGGCACAGGGCACCAGGCTGCAAAGTCTCGGGGCCCCACCCTCTCCCAGCTTCAGCCTGTTTCCCGGAAGCTGCCACAATCCTGTGCTATTGCTCTGGCTGCGGTGAGGGGCCAGGGTGGGGCTGCGCATCCCTGCTCCAGACGGGCCCCTGGCGCTGCAGCTGTGCGGCCGTGGTGCGGGGTTTTGTTTGTATGTTTGCTCATTGTAATTCCTATAAATTTGCTCTTCTTTCTTCCTCACCTTCAGGGTAAAAGTTCTTGCTACTAGTCTCCTCCCCCATCCCTCACCTCTCCTCACCCCCATCACACCTGCTGACCAGCTGGAGTTAGAACATAGGCTCAGGGTCCCCGGATGGGGTGCTCTCAGGGACCTCACGCTCCTTTCTGGGCCTCCCATGATTTGACTCCCCGTGTCCCAAGCACATCCTGGATGCTGGCAGCACTGCCACCTTGTCACTGGGATGAGGAGGGCAGAGGAGCGTGCCCGCTGGTGTTTACCCTGGTAGAAGACGTCCACACATGGCTGGTCGGCGCTGATGACTTTCAGGACTTTGCGGTAAGAGGGGAGGATCCTGGCGATGTTCCTGTGATGCTCCAGCAGCTTCTGGGCCGTCTCCAGCGCCGAGATGCCTGCCGGCACCACCAGCCGGTCCTGGACTTCAGACTCGGGGGGCCAGTCAAAGGTGGTGTGATAAATCTCTGCAAGGAAAGGGGTACGTGGCCGCAGTCACCCACCCAGCCCTGTCAAGGATGCCACTGCATCTGGAGAGGGCCTTGTCCTCCTGGAAGCCAGCCTCCGCCTCCAGGGCCATTCGCCACCCCCTCCGCAGTGCAGGGTGCACTTCGGCTCTGGGCCTGTGCTTCCGTTGCTGTTAACTACAACAAAATGGTGACAATTCTCAGGACAATGCGGGGCAGCTGTGGCTTCTTGATGCCGGCTCGGTGCCAGACACGCTGATGGGCGCCCACTGCAGACTCTCGCAGTGATCAGATCAAAAGGTAAGTCTCATCCCCGTGTACTGATGAGGAAACAGTCTCAGAAATGCTGGGCAACTCATCCCACATCACATAGTTGGGAAGGGGCAGAGCCGGGGTCCACAAACCCAGGTCCAACTGCTGCCAAAGCCTGAGGCTGGAGGCTCAGGGCCCCCACACCTCCCTGGGGAACTGCTCAACACCCACAGGCTCCTCCTTAAACTCTGGGGGCCTCTGACCCCTCATCTGCCGGACTTTGTGATTTTCCAATGTCTTCCAGCTCGGAGCTCGGGCTGTGGTATTTGTGCCTGTGCTGGCCTGTGTGGGGCCCAGAGGAGCACAGGGCTCCGTAAAGAGTGGATGGAGCTGTACTACCATCGATCATCGATCAACTGATCGCCCCTGAAACCCCATGGAGTGGTGGGCATGGTGGGGGGAGTGAGGTGGAAGCGGCCATACCTCCGGTTTGAGGGTCGACTCTCTTCCCCAAGTTTCTCTCGATCAAGACGGTGTCTGGAGCATTCAGCACAACTGCGCAGAGAAAGGAGCAAAACCGGGCATGCTGGGCAGCAGACCCAAGGCGTCCGAACCTCACGGCCCAGTAACTTGTCTCATGTTTCTCTTGCTCTGTCATGACGTTAAAACAACAATCCTCCAATCCCGATAATCCCTTGAAAGAAAGGTGGGCGCGGCACCACAACACAAAGACACAAAGTCTGGGCAACGGACAGCCCAGCCCGTGCTTGAACATGTCACTTGCTAACAATTTTCATCATACTAAATTACATATTTGTGCATAATGCTTTTGCTGTACTTTAGATTATTTTTCAAAGAGAGTTTCTCAGATGTGGAATTCTTAGAACAAGGAAACTCCAGGGTCAAAACAAACCCCACATTTCTAAGAATTTTTCCCAGAATGCATTTGGCTTTCTGAAGAGCTCGACGGTACCACTGGCTCACAGGCCCACCAAGCCCCTCTTGGACAGAGCCTGGGCTGACGGTGGGCACTGGGGAGGCAGCAGTCAGAGCGGGGCACTCCCACACGGGGCCCAGGGCTCTCGGGGGGCCACTCACCGACGTGTCTTGGGGTGACCCCAAGAGTCTGGACCATCAGAGCCTGCTCCCGAGTCTCAGGGATGCCATCCAGAATCCAGCCCTAGGCAAAAAATTTGGAAAGGTGCTCATCTATTTTTATTTTTTAGATTTTGGGGAATTATAAAAGGAATATAATAGCTTTGTAGAAAAACTAGAACTTTAAACACAAAAGAAAATAAATGACTCCGATGGCCACAGCACCCAACTTTACTATCATATTATTACATTCCCTTCCAAATCTTATGTCTACAATTATACTCATAACATACATATTTTATGCCCTGATTTTTCCCACCACACGTAACTACCACAGCATTTTTTCATCGTGGCATGCCTCTTCATTGCCACCATTTTCAAAGGTTAATACAATGTTTCACCAAGTGAGCGGGCCATTAGCTACTTACCCACGCCTCAAAAAGGAACATTTCACCCACTAACAATTTTGCCTATCATAAATAAGTCCACGATGAACATCTTTGTGCACACAGCTCTTTCACATTTTGGATTATCTCCCAAAGAGAATATCTGTGATGTATGGTTCCTGGGACAAGAAACCACCGGGGTCAAAACAAAACCCCACTTTTCTTAACAAGCTCCAAATGAAGCATTAAGAGACCTGAGATCAAGTTTCTGTTCTGTATCTGACTTGTCATAGGGCTGAAATCCTTCAGGCATCAGCTCCTTGGTACAACTAGGTTTAGAAGATTTATTTATATTAACAGTTCAACTTCAGTTATGAAACTAATATGTGACCATTGTAGACAATGCAGAAAATACTGAAGAGCTGAAGTAAGACAAATCAAGAACTCAAAACTAGCCATTGTTAACATTTTGGTGCACCTCCTTCCAGCCATCACACACAGGTTACCTTTTTTTCCTGTGGAGGGGGAAGGAATTGCACTGTACATACTATTTTGTAGGCCAAAATGCTCCTGTCCTGGGAGTTTTTATAGCTGCCTGGCATTGTATGACTTGACCTGCCAAATGTTAATGAATCCCATATTCTTGCTCATTTTGTTTCATTCCAGTTTTTTTCCATTATAAAAAAATCTTGTAAGTATATTTTGATGCATATAGAACATCCTTGAGAGGAATTTCTAAAAGTTGCTATCTTCTTTTGTGACTTTTGATATATTTTGCCACATTACTCTGCAAAACTTTCCTGGCCAATTTATGAGTCCAATGGCAGATCGCCTGTTTCCCTGCATCTTTGTCAATGTCAGGCATTATCTTGGAGAAAAAGCTGTCCAGCAAAATAGAGTATGCCAGTGCTGCTTTAATATACATTTCTGTGCTCATTTCTGAGGTTTAATATTTTTTTCATAATAGTTTACTGGCTATTTGAATGTCTTCTTTTCCAAAATGTCTATCCATGCCATCTATCCATTTTCCCCTTGGGGTTTTATCCTTTTATTTATTTACAAGAGCTCTTTACATATTAAGAATATTAATCCATCTTGGTGAACACTATCACAGACCTTTTGAGGCAAACAACATTGCCAACATTTTCTGCAGTCTGTCTTTGGCCTTTTAATTTTGTGTTGGGGGCTAGTTTTAACCCACAAATTTTGGGCTAAATCATCAATGCTTTTCCTCTTTGGATTCTGGCAATGTGTGGATTTATAAAAAAGACTTTTCCTACTTAAAAAGCTGGTATTCACTTGCATTTAAATTGTGTTCTCTTACAATTTTACTCTTTACATGTAAGTATTTAATAGAGCTACATTTTATTTTTAACATGATGCAAGGCTGTGATCTAATTTTGCTTGTGGCTCACCCATGGTTCCAACCTCATCTGTGAAGCAGCGTATGCTTCCCCTCTGAAGCCCACTATTGATTGCAGCCTAAATGCTGATATGATGTTGACTTGGCATCTTTCTACCTGAAGACTCTTGTATCATTTTCACACCATTTAAATTAATGGTTGTTTTATAATTTACTGTTACACCTAACAGGATATGCTCCTCCTGCTTTTTCTTTTTTTCAAATATTGGTTCTTCCAGGTAAGCAGAAGAAATACTTTGACAAATTTCAAAACAGAAGTTCTTCTAGGATTTTGGAATGACATTAAATGTACAGACTAATTTACGAGAACTGGCATTTTTACAGTATCGACACATTATCTTTCATTTGCTTAAGTTTCTTTTTTTTAATGTCCCTCAGCAATGTTTACATTAAACAATTTCTCAAGTCCCATGAGTCTAGAGTTACACACACACACACACACACACACACCAGGGAGGGGGTCAGGTGGCGACAAGTCGAAGCCAGGTTCCTGATCCTGGCCCCAGAAGGGCGACCCCCTTGCCACAGCGCCCTCCCTCTCAGTCATCATGAGAACTTGGTTGCGTTGAGGCCAGAGGATGGAGTGATGGGGTGAACCCAGATTCAGGGTCACTCGTAAGCTATAACACCTGCTTTACAGAACACCATGCAGAACAGGGCAAGAAATGTCTCCCTTAAAAACAAAAACAAAAAAGAGCCCACATGTCTTCAATATTAAAATAAAATATTTACATTCCAACTGCCTCAACTGACAGGTAAAAAAAAGCCAAACAAATTTACCAAGTAGAGAGCGTTGGAAAAGTCAGGAATACTTTCATTAATTTCTTAAATTATGCAGGACAGTGTGCAGCCATGGAACCCCTGCTTTCCAGAACTAATGAAGCAAGAGTACAAAAAACAATTTTCAAGAGGCTTTTTCTCCCTCAAGTCCTTATTACAGCCAGCCAGGAGCCGGGCTGCAGCTCTTAAAAAGACATCCATAGACGTGCACCCCACCGCAGGAAGCAGGACACGAAGCTTCTGCAAACTTCCCCACTTAACGGTTCTGGGGGCCAAACCAAAATTTTCTGAACTTTAGCTACATTCAGAACCCCTTATTTTTTCTCTATTTGGAGGGGAAGGGTTGGGAGCCCACTGACAGTTTCTTCTAGTACAAGAGCTAGTGGTTCTGTTTTGAGTCAGTTTTTGAATCTGAAAGAAGGTTGGAACTCCATCTTCACCCGGTGCCGAGAAATACCTCCACTTCTAATCCTGCATTACTGAGCAATCATTATAACCTCACGGCTGATAACCGTATGTGGTCCAAAGCTTTTAGAACTATTCGGGGGAACAGCTCTCACTAGCTCCTCACAAAGGTTGGAACTCCATCTTCACCCGGTGCCGAGAAATACCTCCACTTCTAATCCTGCATTACTGAGCAATCATTATAACCTCACGGCTGATAACCGTATGTGGTCCAAAGCTTTTAGAACTATTCGGGGGAACAGCTCTCACTAGCTCCTCACTGGAGAAAGCAGGCCTTCCAATTACACAGGAGAAGTGCAGCAAAATGAGGCACATCTCCCCAATTAGCCTGGCCTCCCTGGTGCGGCATTCCGGGGCAGATGTGAAATTCAAAGAAGGTGGGGGGCTCTGTGGAGTGAACCCCAGGCCACCAGCTCTCCACATCTGCTCTCTCAGGCTCAAGGGGATGGTACGATCACCCAGGTACTAAGAAACAAGGTCCCTCAGGGACCACTTAAGAAAGCCCCATGCTCTGTGGGGAAGGCAGCCATGGAACCCCTTAATTCCCACGCCAGCCCATGTGGATCCATGTCAGTCCTCCTGCAAAGAAGGACACAGTGGCCACGGCCTCTGCACCAGGGAGTGTCGGTCCTGAGGTATCCTCAGGACAGAAGCCCCAGGCTTAACACTTGGGAAAGATCTTTCCCTAAGCTCTTCCATTTATGGAGGTTGTGGGTGACTGCCTGGTTGCAAAGTGGACTGCTCTTTCCAGGGAAAACAGCAATGTTGGCTGACAGCAAGTTAATGGCTGCAAATTCTGTCAAAGCCAAAAGTCATGAATCAGTAAATAGCAGCCGACCACTGCCATGATGGGACACTCGTTAGGTTCGTGGGTCTGACTACTTCCAGGAGTGGCTGGATGCAGAGGTATCTGTCAATCCCTAATTAGAATACATTATCCATCTTCCTGACACTTCAGTGAAATGTCTCTTCCACTCTGCAGCTGCAGCTTTGTTCAGAGCAGGTTAATTGATATTCTGATGCCTCCGCTCACCATACCCCTGCGGCTTGGTTCTGTTTTATCACACATCAAAAAGGCCGTATGCTCAGGGCATCCGTGCACCAGTGCGGGGCTGGAGGTCTGCACAGCTGCGAGGGGTACGGTATCACAGGAGGGACAAGCACTGAGCAGATGTCACAGATGAAAAAAAAGGGAAGAAAAGCAGCCAGCCAGCCTAGGGAACTTGGCGAGGCCCAGCAGAGTGCGGCCTGATGCATAGTGGGCCGCGCTGCTCTGTGTGAACACTGGCCTAGAGACGGGAGGACTGATAATAATTTCGTGTTAATCGTTGGTGGACGCCTAAGGCTCTTGCCCTCTGGGTCCTCTGCCTTTTTGATGCCTGGCGCCTCATCTCCTCCCCCTTCCTCCGAAGGCCAGGGCGGGGCACTCCCCTGGGTTTCCCCGAGGACACCCCTGATCCGGCTCTCAGCTCTGACTGCTCACTGGGAGGCTCCACCCCAGACTTTCCTCGGAGCCGGAAGCTGATTCCTTACAGTGCCAGGGAGGTGATCTGAGCATGGAGTTTTGGATTCGAAAAACCAAATGCACTCTGCTCAATGTCTGAATCCGGGCAAGTGGATTGGGCATTGTAGGCCCAATGACCGCCCATTTCTTTCTAAAGAAATATGTGGTTTCCCAACACAGAAAGAAAATGATTTTATCAGCCAGAAAAGAAATGCATCATAAGAGATCAAATTTGGGAAACTGATGTGTTCTAAAGGCAGTCAGCTAGAATGAGACTATTTCGGTGTTCAGAAAAAAGTTGAGATCAAAATGCTCCCCACTACCAGCTCTTTTGGTTTACACAGGAATGTGAAAATCTTAGCCTAAATGGACCACATACGGATATCACCTAATATCAGGATGCCTTCCGTAGTCAACTCATCTGAAAGACGATCAGCAAGAATTTTTATTCTGAAGTTTAATCTCAAACAACATGCAACACTTGCTGGCATGTCCCAACTTGAGCTGGCATGCTCAAGTCTGTGAAT